TCAACTTCGAAGCGGCATAAATTGAAAATTGACGCGGGACAAATATATTTTAGGATGTCTAAAATATTTTTGCCATTCCAAATATGTTTAATGGCGAAAATTAAATATAGTAACATTTTAGAATGTCGAAACTAATCTTTTAAATTAAAAATTATTTATATTGAATATTTCTACTGCAATTTTATTTAGCATAGTTAAAGTGTTATGAAATTTTAACTATTATGGTAATAATGGTTGCATACCATATATCATTTATATATGTAGTAAATGAATTTACTAGATATAATATATATATAATAGCCATGTCGTAATAATATAATAATGTTAAAGAATGAACTACAAACAAAAAAAAAAAAACTTATACTTTCTTACTTATCAGTTATAGGCGTCATAATCAGATTTATAATTTTCTGGTTCCGGATAATTATTAGTTTCTTCAAATGTTTTTTTTCATTTAAAAAATATATTAAAATCTAACATTTCTTCGATATCCAAATTTTCATTACTGAATATAAAAGTCTATGTTTCATTATTAGAAATATAATCTACATTAAACATATCATCGTCAAACTCAACCATATTTGCATAGTTTTTTATAGCACACCCACAAAAAATGTTCATCCCTGTAATTTCGACCAATCAAAATTTAAGATCAAGTGTAATGTGCTTGGTCAAATTCTGACTCAGAAATTGTTTTGATTGATATGGTTAAATTTATTTTGAGTATTAGTTATAAAAAGATATTCAAGATCAAATAATTGTGAGAAATTATTTAGATATTCTAGTTACAGTATATATATGTAATAACTTTATTTATTAAACAACATGCTAAAAACGAATTAAAATTGATCAAAAATTTTGAGTAACGGTTTTTCTCAAGACTTCCAAGTTATAGCAAAAGGGCACTTTATACTTTTAATTAATCCTTTAACATTGCATTAGTAAATACAAGTTTTCGGTAAAATAAGATTATAAAGGTAATTATAAATAAATGGAGTAATAAACTGGCCAAAATTAAAGCTTTTTGAAGATCACACCTCCGTTGAATGCCTCATTAATAATATACGTAGGTAGCTATAATAATATTAGCAGTCTATAATGATACGTATTGGCGGCCATAATACTATATAAGTAAATCATCTATAATTTAGACTAGTGTTGGCGGTAGAATTATTTGCCGTAATTACTTTGTGCCGTTGTTAGACCCAAATCGGCGAGTCTGTCGCTAGGTCGATGGTAGCTTCGTGTAACCAAAACTTAGGTTTGTAGGGTCGAAAAAGACGTGTTAGATTTGGTCAAGTGGTATAGTATAGTTTCGGGACAGAACTTAGGTCTTTTATAGTACTAGAAAAACGGCGACATTCAGAATTGGCGTCTTAAACTTTTGAAATAACATTCAAGATGTACGTACATGCAAACATACCTTATTATACCCACAGTATCTATTTATATGCCGTTTGTTTAAAATCCAAACATAAGTTAAATTAGGAAAATCGGTCTCACTTTATTTAAAAACAATAATTCAAAAAAGCTTCTTTATAATATGCAACTAGACTACTTTGCAGAAACCTCTGATTTTGCTAAATATATTTATTATATAATAATTATATAATAATTAGAATATTACTAAATATACACGGGGTGCTTGAAACACGGGTATGATTTATAATTAAAAAAATATAAGTAAACATTAAATATTTTAATTAATATTAGGGTTAGAATTGAAGGTTATAGTTAGTAAAAACATTGTTTAAAGTAAAATTTTACAAGAAATTTTTTTTCTTAGACCTCAAAAGATGGTTTCATAAGCAAGATTTTTAGATATCATTAATTATTTATTTTTTTTCTTTATTTTTGTTGTACAAAAAATGATTTACATACTGCATTTAATTTTATATTTTGATTGGCTTTTTTATTTAGTTTGTGTAACTATGTGTTTAAACACCCCACCCCATGTACAAATAGTAATTGTCTAATAATTATATATTTAAAATATTATTTTTTAAAAATATATTAAAGGTATTATTAAAATATATTAAAAATATCTTAAAAATATCTTAAAAATATTTTAATAATTCTATTAACTCTCTTATAACTTTATTTTTAAAATATATTTAAAATATATTTAAAATATTTTAAATATATAATTTAATATTATTATAATATAATTAAAATATGCTAAATATATAATAAATATATTTTTATTAAAAAAATAAATATTTAAAATATTATCATAAATAATAATAATAATAAATTTATTTATTATTATATATAATATTTATTATTAATACAATTTATTAACTAGAAATAAGATTATATTATATATATAAAAAAAATTAAAATAATTAAAGTTTTTTAAAAATTGTTTATAACTATAAATTTTTATTATAAACCTATTTACTGTTTATTAGTAAAAAATATTCCTTGTCCAATTTTATATATAATTTGTCTATTTTAAATTTTAATTATAACTTTAATTTATAAATATTTATGATTAATTTTATAACATTACTTTTTAAAAATTTTTATTAGCTAATAACAAGCTATTAAAAATATACTTATAAGTAAGTTAATAGAATATTAAGTTTTTAACAATATTTTAACAATATTTTAGTTATATAATTATTATATAATTATTATATAATAAATATATTTAGCAAAATCAGAGGTTTCTGCAAAATATATATAAGTAGCTTATTATGAAGTTTTTTTTATTTATTTTTTTTCCTTTAAAATGATATGCCTTTTTTTTTTTTTGAAATCAATATGCTTTTTTTTTTTTTGAAATTGATATACTTTTTTTTTTATTGTTTTTTACAAGTTATTAAGATATATCTAAATAATGTGCATTTAACTTTTTAAGCCTCAAAATTATAATTAAATGATGATTTATTCAATTGATATGCAAAATTGAAATTATAAACTGAAATATAATGTATTTTATAATGATTATGATATGCAAGATTGGAATTATAAACTAAAACATAATATATTTTATTACTTTAAAGCTTAAGTATACTAATTTTTAAACTTGGAATTACAAAATTATGATGAAATAGAAACCAATTCAATGTATAAAATGATAAATCAGAGCAACTCACTTTTATTTTTTTTTATTACTTCCTTTCTTTTTAAAGCAATTTATTCTCTTTTTAAAATTTGATTATTTTTTTAAATAATCAATTAAATTTCAATTTCATATTTTGTTATTAATATGACTATGAAAGATCCATTACTTATTAATACAGAAGACCTATTACTTAATACAAATATATCAATTAAAACAAGCATCAAGTTACCTGAACATGTTGCAGCTATTCTTCCACCAGATCATAACTATTTTGTAATGAAATTCATCAACTTTCTAACTATATTACAACTAAAGGATTTTTGGTTAATCAATTTGAAGCAGACCTTTTGGTGAATATTGATAGTATTGAAGGTGCAGAAAAATGGCTTGTAGATTTTGAAGAGATATCAAAAATGACAATGCCTCAAACTAGATGGTATAAAATTCAAGAGAAAAAAGTTATCTTTAGACAATTATACTATTATATTCATAGCGATATTGTAAGACAAAAACAAGTAAATCCAATATTAAAAATTTTCAATTCATTACATATTAGAAATTCTGGATATAAGGCTACTATTCATCTTTGACTTGAATAGTGGCATTTTCAGACTAATTATTCACTTAAAATAAATATTAAATTTATATATAATCATGTTATCTATTCTGCAAAAGCTCTCAGTTTTAGACATGTAAAAAATGAAGTCTGTAATAAATATATTGAACTTTTTAAGTTGGACACTTATCAGCTACTGCTCTATACACATATGAAGATAGTCTTTATTTGAGCATAAATAATGATCAAAAACTTATACAATTACTAGCAGATCATGCAATAAATCCAAATCATGGCTATGTATCAAATTTGTTTAAACAATTTCACAACAATTATCTAGGAGAAAAAAATGACACATTTATGTTTCAATGACTTAAAGATAAGATTAGCTCTTATAATAATTCTGAAAAAGGTCATGCTGTTCTTCAAGAGTATAATTTATATTCAAAAAAAGCTTTTATTCTTTGCATGGTTACAAACTTAATGGTTCAAGTTTATGAAAGAATTCTTCAATTAGGTGAAATTTGTTATATAGATGCCTCACAACTATTTAAACTATTGAATACATCAATCACTTTGTTTTATATTAGTTGTATTGCAGAAGCATTGCCCTTGGGTCTTCTTGTAATATCAGATAAATTGGAAACAACTCTTAAAAATGGAATGAATATACTAAGATTACTTCTTCCTCAATGAGTATTTTTTGGCTGAGGGCCCAGTACTAGTCCAATAGCTTTTTTTATTAATAATTCAAAGCATGAATGCAATACATTAGAGCATTGCTAGCCGCAATTAAAAAAACTAATATGTATATTTAATGTTCTTCAAATATTCTGGCACTAGTTGCACGACTAAAAACATAATATAGATAAAGTTCATAAAATATCTATAATGAATCTTATAAAAAATATATTATATGCACCAACAAAAATTGAAATAATAGATAGTTATAATAAATTAAAAATTAAATATTATTATATATATCTACAATTACAAAGACACTTTGAGTTATTTTGAAGCTGATAGCAATTTTGGGCAGTATTATTTTATTCTGGACTTCCTATGCAAAGCAATAACACTAATAATTATATAGATTGTAGTTTTAGACTATTGAAGGATATTATTTTTGCATGCACTAAAGTATATAATAGTGTTTAGGTGTTTCAATTTGTTATTTCAAGTATGGAACATTACTATGAGCATTGATTAATTTGGATAGCACACTACCATTCTAGTTATATTTATATTGCTAAAAGGTTTTTGTGTCCTGGTTGGGAGACAATCGATGCTGCAAATATTCAACAAAGTGAAATAAATATAAAATATCTAGTTTAAAGTTAAAAGAAAGGTATTAACTTGTTTTATACTATTAATATGAAACTTTGTATATGTATATGCTTTATTGAATTGTTAGAAGCACCATGTAAGTATCAAGATGCAGTTGCTACTAAATACTATATTGGATCTCTAAATTTTTTCTCATCTTTAATACCTAATGATCATGCTTATTTGCTTGTTTGTTTATATTGCATGTGGTAAGTAATCAATAGTTTAATTTTTGAATATAATTTTTTCAAAATTTCTAACTATAAATAATTATAATTAAAGAAATATAGTAAATAATTTATTTTATGCATCATTATATATCTATATAAATAATAATCAATCAAATACTAATCAAATAGCTACTGAAATTGGTGTGAATATGATTCAAATTCTAGTAGCAGATACAAAAAGGGATCAAATTACAACTGCTGTGAGTATAGATCAAGCTACAACCAATATGAGCATAGATCAAGCTACAACCGATATGAGCATAGATTAAGCTACAACTGACATGAGTATAGATTAAGCTACAATTGATATGAGTATGGATCAAGCTACAACTGACATGAGCATAGATCAAGTTGCAACTAATACAAACATAGACCAAATTATAACAGACATGTAAATATTTATATTTTTAAGCATTTTACATAATTATTTATATATTAAGCTAAATACTATATAAGCTAAAAGAGCTCTTTTTTGTATTTGATAAAGACACAATTCAGAATTCTTCAAAACATTTCTTAAAACAATTAAGGAATACTATGAAAAGCATAGTTCACAACTTCAAGCTGCTCTTAAGAAGCTTGCTAAAAGATACGTTACTGAAAAAGCTAAATTTATCCTAGTACTAATATCTTTCTCTATAATATACATCATGATACTAATCCACTTGTATGTATAAAGAGTAGTGCTAAACTTTGTATACAAGTCAGATCTGTGAAATGCAGAAAAACAAGGGTAAGTACAAAAAAGTCTGGCAATAAAGAAATCATGATTCTCATATTATCTCTGCACATAAGATTCAAACAGTTAATAAAAAAAAGCACAATTTGAGTCAGAATATTAACAAGAGCAATTAAAATTAGTAGTTCTTGTAGTATGCTTTTTGATATGTAGTAGAAAAATATCCAACGAAATTTATAGTTTATTCAATTAACAAAATTAAGTAGAAACAATTTATTGAAAAGTTCAAATAATTAATTTTTAGATCAATAAAAAAATACACAATTTGCATATATTAACATATATATTTGGTTAAATTTAGAGTTTTTTAATTCACAGTACTTTTTAAAGTAAGCTATTTATTAATCATATAGATATAACTTAACCTTATACAACTTATTTACATTTAATATTATAAGAATTATTTTGCCGATTTGATTAAATGAATTAGTATTATTCTTTGTAATTTTATTTACAAAAAGCTTGAAGAGAAAACTAATAACTTTGAAGATGTTTGAAAGTTAAACTCATATAAGCAAAAATAAATATATATATTGGCAGTAGCAAACCATGAATAATGTAAACTTAAAGAAAATAGATTAGCTTAAAATATTGCTGATATTTAATTCTTAGATTTCTCATTTAATAGGCGATTCTCTAGTCACCTGGATAAAAAATTTTTTTTTATATATAAATTTTATTATAAGTGCAAATGCACAGTATCTCTATTTAAAACTTTTTTATACTAAGTAAATCACTCTTTAGCTTTTAACAAAAGTTGTAGAGCTCATCAAAATGTATTTAATTGCTATATCGCGAGTTAATAAGGCAAAATGATCAATATTTGATAATAAAATTTGTTGGGCTCTAATATATTGAAATTTTGCTATTTATAAATATCAAAGGTTTTACAATAATAATTACAAATATGAAAGAATCATGCCAATACAATGTTACTTTGTTAGAAAATAGTCTAATATATTTAAACTTACATTATGGGCCATATGCACAAGATTAGTAGGTTTTTAAAACCAAAAACAATAAACCAATCACTATACCTTACTATCTTTATATGAGAGTAGTAGTTATATTAAACCAAACACAATTTATAATGACAGTAGTTCAAAATGAAACAAATTCTTTAAAACTAGAATTTTTATGTAGTTGTAGTAGCTTAAAATCTGAAATATTGTCTTCTCCGTTAGCAGCAATTACAACAATATATAAAGCATTTTTTTTACAAGACAAAACAGAACTATCTGAACTAGCAATATTGGAATTTAATCAAGAAACTATAGTCTCTCAATTATTAAATGATATTATCTTTATACCATTATTTTTTAAATTCAACTAATTTAAAATAGTAGTATCAAATATTAGTAATAAAATAACTAATAGGTTTGAATCATCACTTATAGCTAAGAAAGAAGAAAAAAATTATCTTGTACATCAATGTATTGCAAATAATATGTACTATCTTAATTTTTATAAAGAAGACAAAATCAATTTTTATTATGAAGATATAACAATGGATGCAGTATAGAGAAAAACTAATATACTTGCAAAATATGATAGAGTGATACTTTTTGGATCTAATCATCCTTTAGTACAACAATATCAGCCTACAATTTCATGTACACCATGTAATTGAGAAATACCTGGTATACTTGATGCATTATTTGAACTACATATATATCAACAAAAAATTGCAACTAATATATTAACTAAATAGAAAAATTTATTTGCTAACTGGCTGTATCAAAAAAATATAATAATTCAACTAAATAAAGCATTAAAAAAAATATATCTACTTACTTATAAAATTCAAGACAAAGAGTTTTATGCATGGAAAGCAATGTTGCATGCTTGTGGTTGTTATAACATTACACTATTTTCTAAAATGAATCAAAAATTGAATTTTGGAGTCATGCAAAAGATCCTACAATTGATCAAAATAATCTAAAATATTTATATAATAATGAACTATTGCAATTAGATTCAATTGAATTTTCAGATAATAATAGTAATTTTTCAAATGATAATAATGAAATTTTTTGGGAGTCATTTGATGTAGCTTTGAATTCTAATAAACATAGAACTCAGGAAAAAGTTCGAATTCTTTCAATAATAGCAAAAAATTTTCATTATAAATAACTTCAAGCTAAATTACAAGCAAGTAAATAAAATAATCTAAATCTAAATATTTACTTACACAATTTATTTTATATAATAGATTAGTAAAAATATAATAAATTCGGCTTGAAAACATGCAAGATTACATGGATCTGGTGCACCACCTAATGATATTCTCCAAAGAACTGTTCATTAATTATCTAAAATTCAAGAATCAGAATTTCAGTTGTTTTTTCAAGACAAATCAAATGTTACAATGAGTTCATATAAAATTGATCCAAAAACTGAATTACCTATACTTTATCTTCAAGATCAAAAGGAAACATTATGGACAAAATTTAAAGAAAAATATCCAAATGAAATGTGAAAACTGCATTTATGGCCCGCTTAAATAATACAACAAATATTCATTATCGAACAGATATGGGTGGTTTATATATGAATTATAATGAGTATGGCTATGAACTATTTGAAGATTTAGTAGATATTGTTCAAAGAAATTTTGAAAATGAAATATTAGTAAATTTTATTTATATTTAACTTCGATTTACTATACTGCATTGATTAAAAAATACAAGCTACAAAATTTTATCTATTATAACTTTGTTTTAAACTCAAGGTTTTTAATCAATATAATATAGTAATAATACAGTATTCAATTTCTAAAAAATACTTACAGTTTTTATAATATAATAGAATAAAATACTTTCACGAATTAATTTGCTAAAATGACATGTAAGAAAAAATTTTGAAAGAGAATTAATCTTTAATATAGATGGAAAAACTTAATATCAAGAATGCATAGATTATTGTCTTTTATATGCTTTTGGTGAATACAATCAAAAGCATCAAAAAAGATATGAAAAATGTAATGAATTTTTTATTTTGTTTAGTGATTTGAAAGTACATATTCCTACCTGATATTACCAAAAACTAAATGAAATTCAAGAAAAACTCAAATATTATCTTGTACATCATGCAAGAAAAGTTTATCTAAATGCTCAATATAGCTATCTTTTAGCACAACTAAATCAAGATAGTGCTGTTATAATTGCTGATTATAAAATGAGAATTTTATCTAAATCAGCAAGAGAAACCAAACAGGAATTTTTTAGCAAACAAGAGTGGACGTTGCATATGCTTTTAGTTTTTGCCCTTGCTAAAAATAAATCAGAATTAGAAATTAGTGCATACAATCATTGGAGTACTGATACAAAACAAGATGCATAGTTTGCGGCATCTTCCTTTGAAGCAGTATTTTCAACACTTGAAAATAAATCTAAGTGGATACAAATTATATTAGATAATGGAGCACATTATTACAATAGCCAACTAATGACTATAGTAGCTTATTAGAATAAATAATATGACATTCAAGTATGTGGATAGCTATTTCTTGAACTAGGTGAAGCGAAAACCGCTATAAACTCACACCATGCATTGGTAAATTACAATTTTTTTTTAAAAAAAATATAGTAAACTTCTCCAAATATATACTAAATACTATAAATCAATTTTTTCTATTGCTCTTTAAATGCAAGTTATTAAACTCTTATTTTACAAGTTGCATTTAGAAAAGTTTGGCTATATATCAAATTATTATCTCAACTACTCATTAAACAATTATAATAAATAGATAACTCATATGATTAAACACTATATACGAATTTGTTGTAATATAACTAGTGGTTCAAATATTGTAGAAGCAGCAAAAAATTTGGCTGGAACATATCTGGCAAATCTTGAACCAAACAGAAATCAAATAAATATGACTATGAAAATTTCAAATTCAAAACAAAAAAAAAATAAACCAATAGTTGGTACTATGACTGAAATTTTCAAATATTTTTGGTAGGAATGGCTGACGAATAGTAATTATGCAGGATATATCCGAGCACATTCTTTACCACATATTGGATCTTATCTTCAATTTTCTCTAACTCAAATTGCAAAATTATACAATAAAGAAATTGTCCGCCCAGAACCAGTAATATCTTTATATACTATACTTTCTAAAAAATGGACTATGCCAATACCAAACAGATCATTAGGTATGTAAATATGTTCTAAAAACAAAATTATACTATTTATTTTTGTCTAAAGTTTTTGTCTGATGCTAGATAAAGCTGTATCATTGTACTGTTACAAGTTTGCTATTTTACTAAATTTTTGTATTATTATAAATTTCTCATTAAATATATTGTGGCAAGAATATAAAAAGGATTAAGAAGATTTAGAAAATGAAAATTGAAGTAAGTACTTTATAAAATTTGAAAACAAAATTTGAATAATAACTAATTATTTTAACAATTAATATCATACTGAAATGGAGATAGACAGAATTGATGATAATTATCTGCTTACGAAAGGGTGGGCTTTGAAAGAAAACTAAGAACTTGGTAGAAAAGATAAAGGCAA